GGAAAATCATATTCTGTTTAGACTGATTTATAAGGTGTAAGATGATCTGATGTCATCTGGAGCATAACCAATCTCTCAAGAGACTACAAAATGTTCTCTGCCATTTCTCCTTAGGGATTTAAAACCATAATGCCATGCTGTGTGGTATTATGTAGTTGCTTAAGAAAACTGTCAGATATGGGCACTGTGTTGCTATTTGTATCTACCACTAACTTTCACAATCCTTATAAAAATATGTACAACATGTTTTCTTCTTCCCTATGTACATCTGCCCTAATAGAATTATACTTGTGCACTCTGAACTGCTCATTTGGAATTTGGGGAAAAGTTAGTAGGATCATTGCAATAGTAGGGTAATTTTCAAACCACAGCAGAACTGCCTCTGCCCTATTATTTCTTTAACTTGGCTCCCACCTTTGCTTTATTTTCAGGTTCTGTGCTCTATTTCCAAGGTTACAATAAGTGTGTTTGTGATGGAGTTCTCTTAGACTTTGTGTTTAGCAATGACTGTGACTGAGTCAGAGGGCATTTTAAAAACCACAGAGTAACTCAAATGAATTCAACAATGGGATTTCCACCAATCTGGTATTAACCACATTACTCACAAAATGTAACATGTAGCCTTACCACAGGAATCTGTGTGATAAACTATTTAGGTTTTTGCCTTAAAGTAGAAAGAAATAGATGATAATTGAAACCTGTCCATTTCAGATCTTGAGGTTATGTCAAAGGCTGCCATCTTCTTGTAAATTTAAATCAACTTTATCTTCTTGAAGAGCTGGTTGTTCAATCAAATCTAGAATGAGTCTATGGCACATCTGGAACTAGAAACAATTCCTAACTCCTGACTTACAGCAGGATTTCCACCTACCTTAAGAAACATAGCTCAGATATGATGTGGGCTATTTGGACTCCTGGCAGAAGTCAAAGGATACTTGGGGAGCAGTGAAGTATATGAGAGAACATCACCAGATCCAATTGCCAAACAGAGTGTTTTAACCACTATTGGAGACATTCCTATGATGATTTTTTTTGGTAGTGGATGTTTTTATAGAATCGTAGAATTGTTTAGGTTGGAAAAGAGCTTTAAAATCATTGAGTCCAACCACTAAACCAAGTCTTCAATTGTCACATCCACATGCCTTTTGAGTGCTTTCATGGATGGTGATTCCACCACTTCCCTGGCCAGCCTGTTCCAATGCCTGACTACCCTTTCAGTGAAGAACTTTTTCCTAAAATCCAGTCTAAAAGTCCCCTGGTGTAAATGGAGACCATTTCCTTTCATCCTATTACTTAGTACCCAGGAGAAGAGACCAACCCTCACCTGTCTACAATCTCCTTTCAGGCAGTTGTAGAGAGACATATGGTCTCCCCTGAGCCTCCTTTTCTCCAAGATAAACACCCACAGCTTCTTCAGCTTTTTCTAATAGAGCCTGTGCTCCAGATCATTCAACAACTCCATTGTCCCTCTCTGGGCTCACTCCAGAATGTGGACATGCTCCAGAGTCAAGGTCTCTCTTCTAGTGAGAAACCCAAAACTGGACACAGCACTCAAGGTGTGGTCTCACCTTTGCCTGGTACAGGGAGACAATCTCTGCCCTGGTACTCATGTCTACACCACCAGCCAATGGCCTGTTTGGCCAGCTGCACACACACTGGCTCATGTTCAGCTGCTGATGACCAGCACCCCCTGGTCCTTTTCCTCTATGCAGCTCTCCAGCCACTCTTCTCCAACTCCTGCATGTTGTGGCCCAAGGACCCAGGACCTCACCTTGTTGAATCTCACCCAACTGACCTTGGCCTATCAATCCATCCTGTGCAGATCCCTCTGCAGAGCCTTCCTACCCTCCAGCAAATCAGCACTCCCATCCAACTTAGTGTCATCTCTGAACTGACTGAGGGAGCATTCAAACCAGTTTAGCAGGCCTGGCCCCAACGCTGAGCCATGGGGAACACCACTGCTGACCAGCCTCCAGCTGGACATAGCTCCATTCACCTTCACTCTCTGAGCCTGGCCATCCAGCCAGTTTTTAACCCAGGGCAGAGTGCCCCGTCCTTGAGCAATCAGTTTCTCCAGGAGAATGCTGTGGAGAACAGTGTCAAAGGCTTTAGCAAAGTCCAGGTAGTCCACAGTCTTTTCCTTATCCATTAGGTAGGGTCATCCTGTCACAAAAGAAGATCAAGTAAGTCAAGCAGGACCTGCCTTTCTTAAACCCAGACTGGCTGTGCCTGATCCCCTGGTTGCCCCATACATGCCAAGTGAAAGCATATACTTCATGATCCTCTCTGGCACTGAGGCCAGACTGACAGGCATATAGCTCCTTGAATCTTCCTTCCAATCTTTCCTGTAGATTGGCATAATATTTGCCAACCTTCTGTCATCTGTGGCTTCATAAGTTATCCTGGACTGCTGGTACATGATGGAAAGTGGCTTGGTGAGCTTTGCTGACAGCTCCCTCGGTAACTTTCAGTGGATTCCATCCAGCTCCATGGACTTGGGTGTGTCTAAGTGGTATAACAGGTCAATGGTCATGACCCCTTTAATATGGAGGCTTCATTCTGATCCCCATCCCTGTCTTCCAGTTCATGAGGCTGGGGACCCAAAGAACAACCCATCTTGCTATTAAGGACAGAGGCAAAGATGACACTAAGTACCTCTGCCTTTTCCTTATCCTTTGTCATGATGCATCTCCCCCTCCCCACATCTATGAGGTAAGGAGATCCTCCTTAGCCCTCCTTTTTTTTTGTGATCACCTAATCACAGAATATGCTGAGTCAGAAGGGACTTTTAGCCTTGCACAGGACATCCCAAGAGCTATATAATGTGCTTGAGGACATTGTCCAAACACTTCTCTATGTATTTATGAAAACATTTGGTGTATTCATAAAAACATTTATGTTGTCTTTTGCAGCAGTAGCCAGATTAATTTCTGGGTTTTGTCCCTTCAATTTCTTTCCCTGCATAACCTCACAACATCCTTGTAGTCCTCCTAAGTTGCCTTCCCCTTCCTTCAAAGGTGTTATCTTCTTTTTTTTACCCAGAATTCCAGCCAAAGTTCTCTGTTCAGCTAAGATGGCCTTCTTCCACATCAGCTTGTCTTTTGGTACATGAGAACAGCCTGCACCCTGAAGACTTTCTTCTGGAAAAACCTGGACTCCTTTTCCATTCAGGACTGCCTCCTAAGGCATTTTGACATCCAGGGCACTTGGCAGACCTTCCTAAATCCAAGATGGCAGTTATGCTGGCACGCTTCATTTTTTTCTCTGAGAATTGAAAACTATCATTTCATAATCACTGTACCCAAGATTGCCTCAGACCTTCGTATCATCCTCGAGTTCTTTTCTGTTCACAAAGAACAGGTCCAACAGGTGCCTCCTCTTCGCTGACTTGCTGTGTCAGAAAATGGTCTTACATATATTCCAGGAACTTCCTGGATTTTTTTCCCTCTCTGCTATATTGTATTGACAGTAGGCATCTGGAAAGCTGAAGTTCCCCTAGAGAGGAAGGGCAAGAAATTGTGAGACTGCTTATAGAATATTTGATCTGCCTCTCCCTTCTGTTTGGTGGTTTACAATGAATTCCTACCAGGATATCTTCATTTCTGTCCTTCCCACTGATTCTTGCCCAGAAACACTCAACCCTATTGTTACAATCATTGAGCTTGAGACAACCAAAACTCTTCCTAACCTACATGGCTACCTGCCCACCTCTCCTTTCTCACCCATCCCTTCTGAAAAGTTTACAGCCATCTATCACAGCGCTCCACTTGTGCAAGTTGTCCCTCCATGTTTCATTGATGGTGACTGTGTCACAGCATTCCCACTGCACAATGGCTTCCAGCTCCTCCAGCTTGTTGCCCATGCTGCCTGCATGATACCAGCTTAAGGTGTCATTATCTGAAAGGAACAAAAAGTCTTTCCAAGGTAGCAAGTCAGAAAGAAATTTTGGTGTTAAGACATTCATGGGATCTGTTCCCAAGTTTCTTGTATTTTAAAATATCTTTGAGCAGATGGTCTTTGTCCCTGAGACTGGCCTGTGGTAAGGAAGAAAACTGGTGCCATGTTCAAAGTTGAGAGCCTCCTCAAAAACAAACAAGCACTAGACCCAAGGAATGATTCCCGCATTAGCAGCATGCTCCTGGAAATCACCTGCAACTATCTACAGCCTTCTTGCCTTCAAGATCTAGAGAGACCCTCACTCCTCAAAAAGGGTGTGGATGCCTAGCATGAATGAGAATACCAACCTCATAAGAAGACTGGGTGTAAGTTATTGTATTTAAAATCTGTCATGTCTTACATAAAGAGGAAACTGCTGGAACTAAAGAGACTTTTCTGTCCAGAAGAAAAAATATCCACTCTGTTTAGCCATATAATTAATGTGGACATTTAATGTGCCCCATGCTGCAAAAAATACTGTGGGCTATTCATGTTGGTTTCAGTTTTTCAACCTGGGCAGCAAGAAAGAATTGCTGAGAGAGAGTTGTTTCCACTCTCCTTTGCTTAATATACAGAGAAACATGGAAAGCAGTGACCTAGTTTGAAAGAACACTGTTATTTCAAATGCCCCCTAACTCACCTATATGAGGAATGAATGCATCAGGATGAGAAGGCTCTTGGACAAGCCTACACAAAAGAAAGAGCTGTGTCACACATCTCAGTAAAGGAACAAGCAGAGAAATCAGCAAAAAACACTCATTACAAGCAATGCAATTCAGCTTCCCAGGGTAAGAAAATTATCTTCCCATAACAGTTCAGATACCTTCGATTTTAGAAAGTCAGGATTTAGAAAGAATTGACTAAGTGCCTCCGCAAAGCTCACAGGGATGAGGAAGAATGAAATACACACTTTTATTTGATGGGGAATGGTAAAGTTTGCTAGATAGGCAGCAAAAAAAAAAAAAAAAAAAAAATCACAAACACCTCTGTCAGGTGGTGATTTACTTTAATAAAACATGAATTAAAAAGAGCAATGTTCAGGTACAAAACCTAACAGAACATAATCAGTCAGGGACAAAAAATGGTAGCTCACTGATCACATCCCCAGCTTCAGTCTCAATCGTGTCATAAACCCATTTTCTATTGCAGCGACATTCTGGCCCGCATTTGTTTGAGTTGCATTTGGGGCAAGGATAGAAGCAACCGAGACAGTCCATTTCCAGGCAATCACATAAATCTATGTCATTACAAAGCAGCCTGCCATGTTTGTCATACTTCTTTGTAAACCTGTGAAAGAGAACAAAAATTATGTTCAGACAATGCTTCAATGCCTTCAGACACTAAACCAAACACATGTGGAAAACATCTGTACAACAAGTATTTAGTCTTTAACAAACTCATAGCAAAATAAAATACCAGCATTATATCCTAATTGCAGCAGCTACTGGTACTAAAAAATGAATGCATGCCATACTGTATCAAAATTCCCTTTAAGTCACACAGAAAAATCTTGTTTTCTCAATATGGCTTTCAAGAAATCACTCTGAAAAATACAATGTTTTTATTAATTTATTTCGATTCAGTGAATGGACTATCAAGCATTTTTAAAAGTAAATCAGGTAATAAATTAGGTGTCTTACCTGGACTCATAAAAAAAATTTTGTTTCATCTGTGACATGCATGCTTTCTTTTTCTGCTGTCGAGTTTCAGGATTGAAGTCAGCTACCTGAGGTCCTGGATTTTGAAAGGCTAAGGATTTTAATTGGTTCTCGAGTTTTTGCTATAAATGAACAACAGAAAGTTTGTGATTAGTAAATTACAATTGGAAAATATCTTTCTTAGCTGGCAAGTGTCCTCACTTGCTTCTGAATTACGTTAAAATTAATATTCCTGATAACTGATAAATCACATTGATTATTTAAAATGTTTGCTTGCCTAATTACTAATCAAGTACTCCCTTTACTGACTGTTCATCCTGACTGGAGATGGAACAACCATGACTCTGAACACATGTTCAATCATGACAATGATTGAACAATCATGACTCTGGTACAGCGGCATGGAGTTTGCAAGTTGCCATGTGAGAGGCAGAATTATGTGTTTTGCTCTTCATCTTCATCTAAAATGGAAAAACAAGTACTTGTGGTTCTATCTCACCCCTCCAAAATGTATGGTATATTCCAAGCCTGCGGTCCTGCCCTGAACCATCATGTGTCTGTAATCCCATTGGCCCAAGTGTTATTCCACGCCCACTTTGAATCTCTCTCTTAACCTGTGCGAGGGAAACCAGATCCTCTCTTAGCCCTTCGCCTCCTCTCTTGGCCCTTCTCCTCCTCTCTTGCCCCTTCCCTTCCCTAGGCTCTCCCTCCCTCTCCCCCTCCCTCCCCCTTTCCCCTTCCCCCTCAGTAACCATGCTGCTCCCGGGGGTAGGACCCCCAATAAACCATCAGCACCCTCAAAGCCGTGTGGAGTCTCCTTGCCCGCCTGCTGCAGCCAGTGAACTCACAGCCTAGGGGCCCTCCGGGGACACCCCAGGGTGCCCGCCCCAAACGAACTGCTACAAGTACTATGATTATAAGCATCTCAAATGGATTCACTCTTATTTTCACTGTTCCCTCAGATGCCTAGAAACTATGTCCAAATAATCTGAGGGCAAGAAAAATGTCTGAAGGAGCAACTAATACAGTAAGGAAACATTTGCACAAGCAAGAAGTATGAGGAAAAAAACCCCAACACACAGACAAAAACAAAGAAGCTCAGCTGAGCAAGGTTTTCTGATAAATAGGAGGATGCATTTTTTCTGCCAATTTTATGGAATTCATGTTTACAGTTAATTAAATCTGCTGAATACTTTTGGAAGCTAAAATATTATCACTGTGTATTACCATTCCACATAGTCCATGTATGTTGACAAATACTTCTAAAGTCACTGCAAACATAAGCATAATGTCAAACAATTTCCCTTTGGACAATGTCTGTAAGCTTTGACCGAACACTTGTCATTCATTATGTAAAGGCACAAAAATACATACAAATTTATATTTTTCGCCTGTTATGTATATATGGCTGCCTTGCCATCTCTTAGCAAATGACACCTGGACATTCCTATCAGAGTTCACAGTGATTTTCCACAAACAATTGAGCACTTTCACAGTTTCTCAAGGGAAAGCAGTGGTCGTTCAGCCCAATCTGCTGATACAGTGATTCGGAATGTCCAGGCACTTGAGTGCACTTTTTTCCAAGGTGGTTGATGCTGTGCATCTTCAGCTGCGTCCTCCTGAAAACATGCAGGGCAATCTCATGTACCTTATTCAGACATGTCTGCTTTGGACTCTGGGGTTTTCAGCATCATCACCATACATGATCATAAATAATGCAATTTTAAGTTGCAAAAGAATAATAAGGTATGGTGACAGTCCTTCCTCTAAGCCTACTGTTCTGTTTCCCTACTTACAATTGCTCTTTGCCCCAATTGCTCTTTGCCCTCTAAATCACTGCACTACAAACTTGATCCATTTCACTGTTGTTGTTACAACAAGGGTATTTCCCTCTTGAGTCCAGGTCTTTATTTTTGTAATGACTGAAAAAATTGAAGGCAAGTATCTTGATAATAAAATAGTACTGGAGAAGTCATACCAAATTTTTGAGTCTTATTGAGCAGTCCTCAGCACGAGACATATTTTTTTCTGCAGATGTTTCCTGGGAAGCGTTGCTTTTCCTGCAGTTTTCTTCCACGAGATCAGTCATTTGACCACCCTTGTGAAATAAGCGCATATTTGTTAAACATATACAACGGCATAAACAGACTTTTAATTTAACCTTTTAAGGTAAACAAGCGATATCCACACAAGGCTTTAATGCATTCTTAATCAGCAGCAAATGCAGAACAAAACCTAGCTCACTAACAAGCTCTATTTTAAAAAGGTATTACATAATATCACGAGCATGTACAAAAGCTGTATCACCAGAGCCACTCCAAAATTCGCTTCTCAGACGCCGGGAAACCGCGGGTGTTTAAATGGCACGGAGCTGGGAGCGCTGTCACCACGCACCCAGTGCCCGCGCCAGCCCCCAGGTGGCGCTGCTGCCGCGACATTCCCTGCGGATCCACGGCGTTCTTCCCGGAGATTCCAGCCAACGGAGTAAACGTAAGCTGCTTGGCTTTTGAATCTCACTCCTTTGCGAAAGATTTTTTTAATAAAATAGAATTAGGTTTAATAGGAAAAAGGGCATCACTCACTCTGCTAACAAAATACCCATGGAGGTCTGTGGGTTCTGTGAGTCTATCCTACAAATGCCATCCATCCCGTCTCTGCCATCAACATAGGTTCAGCATGGATATTACCTACCTCTTACCAACCTTGTGCAAATACTTAGCTAAAATTTTTTTATGTAATATATACAGTACCACCGCCTCAGACTTTAACCCCAAACACAACCAGAAATAATTTAAGATTTCTGGAGTTCCTCCAGCCCTTCCCCACATGCTGCCCAGTCTCTCTCATCACCTCTGAAAGGTAGCACAGTGGCCTCTATCAGTTTACCCTGTACTTCAGGACTGTTGCCCCAACCCTGCCCCAGAGAAGATCTTCATTTCACCACTGCTGAAGGACCAGCACCTCTCTAAGATAAGCAGGAGTCCAAGCCTTAGCTTTTCTTTTTTGCAGCCACTTCCTGCAGGGTGACAGTCAAAGTGAGAATAGGAACCACAAGGGAGTAACTTTGTATTACCTGGAGGGGCTGTCTCAGAGAAAGGTGTAACAGCCTTCAGCCAAATTCATTGAGGTGTTCCTGCTCTCTTCAGTGACCTGAAGAATGACAGATGTGACACTGTTCACAATGGGAGGCTTGACAGCAACTGTTTTAGTTCTGGGACTTCAGTGTCATTTTAAGGTTAGAAAAGGAATTCTGTTACCAGGCAATTAATATTTACTGGGTGGGGGAGCCTGCTTTCCTACTGTAAATTTGTTAGGCATCCACAACTGAATAAAGAATGAAGGGCAGCACTCAAAAGAAGGCGAATATTGTCAAGTTGGAGTCCTGGTAAGGATTTGCTTCCTACATTTCCTCTTGAGTCCAGCCATATGTCTAGCATTGTTAAAGCTCTTTATGAGTATGCATGATTGTCATCCATGCCTGTTTTTTCACAGTACGTCAGGTTCAGGAGTAGAAAAGCCATCAGCAGCTACCAGTGTGACACACTGAGAGTTTCCATGTGTCCTCTGGTGTTGTAAAAATTTGACTGCTTTGACAACTAAGTCCTAAGAGTTATCTAGAACCAAACACACAAAATCAGAGATCTCATTTAAATACTAACAGAAAAGAACAAGCATCTTGTTCTGCAGATGTGTTTCAAATGCCCTTGCACCTCAGCAAAAATATCTTACGCAGAGAATGTGGCAGACTTCTGCCTCCACAAACAAATATTTTAAGTAGCTAATGTTGAATTTAAATCTTCAGGAGAGATAACAAAAAGTGAGTAACGAAGTGAGCAGGAGAGATTATCCTCCACAGTGTGTTCAGAGAATAAATGGAAATGAGGGAGATGCAGACATTCACTATAAAGTCTGCAGAACCTAATTTTACAAGGAAAGTATTCTTGGTCCTGAAACAGATTTTTTCTTCTACTATAGTTTGTAATGATAATTGGGGGCAATGCATTGAACACTGTTCTCTTCCATAAAAATTTCAACTCTTGGGATTAGTACTAATTGCATTCTTCCTCCACCAAAACCTGTGTTCTCCCATGCTTTTTGAATACAGCAAGTACTTTTCTGGAGGTGATAACCCACAGCTGAACATCCCATTGTGGCTACAGTATTGCTAAGAACTGGCAATTTCAGCACAGAGCTTGAAACAGTTGACCAGGCTAAAATCAGAGTAAGGGAGAAGAAAATCAGAGGCTGTGTTATATTTAGAGTCTTATCCGTGACACAGATGTTTCTGCTCAGAGAACAATTTCAGAAGTTATTGGGAATTTGGAAGGAATTACATTTGTTTATGATTCTCATAAAAGAAATATTTTCCTGTATCTATTTTTTCAAGAATTTAATATTTCTCTTTATGATTCCTGCAGATTACACAGCTACATGTTTCAGCTGGTGTGAAATATGGTGGCGCAAAGCATTCCATATACTTCAGGCTGTTTCATCTCAGCAGCCAAAAGCTCATATCTCTGCAGGGATTGCCAGAGTGAATTCACATTGTTTTCTAGTTGTATTTGTTTGTGCCATTAGAGATGTTCTGGCTGAGATATGTGAGCATGTTCATCACCTTCACCAGGGAAGACGAGATGTTGCCCCTATGCCTTTAATCCCCCTGTGCACACATGGTTTAGACAGAACTATTGCAATAGTCCCACATTTCTCACAGTCTAGCTCTGCAGAGATGCCTGTGAGCTCAGGAACCAGCAGTCAATTTTGTGGCGCATTCAAGTACACATCTTGGAATTTCTATAGGACATCTGATGCCAGCCAAATTAAGAATGGGAGTAAATTAATCTTTCTCAGATCAACTATACAGTTGAGGACTGAATTGTAAAGCTGTGGAAAGACCACTTGGCATCTATTCTGTGCCTTCTCTCACAGCTGTAAATGTGTGTATGTGTTCAGAGGACAGCCTTAAGGCCAGGTAGGAAACACAGACCAGACGAAGAAATAGATCTCATCTCTTGTAACTCAGCTGGTTTACCAGAACTGACAAACTTGGTGACAGTGCAATGGCCTATTCTTTAACAGGGGTCTGGAGGAGCAAATACATCCCTCTCCAAGTAAAATAACATAAATCCTCATATGTTCCCCCTCCCAAACCCAGATACTTTCTGCTGCATCAGGAAGTGAGGGCTCCTGTAGCTGAAGATAAACAGTTAATTATAAAATCATGTGCAACTTCTGGTTGTCATGCAATAGGCTGAAGAGATTTGCCAGGTACTTACCTACCTTCTAAAAACCTGTTGTTCTGAAGGGTGTATGTTCACTTCAGAGCAGACAGCAAGAGAGCAAGGAGGGTCTCCGTAATCTTAAACTGTACTTACCAAAGAGAGGAGAGGAATGGCACAGCCTGGATTTTCTGCTGCACAATTCCTCTGATAGTGGCAGTGTGACATCAGCCCCAGAGAGACTGAAACAGAAGACAAATAATCAAAACAGTGCTCCCCAGAGAAGCAAGCTGAAGATGGTGCCAGGTAACTATCTTAAAGGACCTCACACTTTCTGTCTCATTAATTGTGGCTTTTACATAGTACTGAGCACAAAGAGTGGGAATAAAGAAATTGGATAAATTGGGATGAGAATTCTAATTTCTAATTTGCATCTGTGAACAACAGACCAAATGTATTTCCTAGAGGTTTTGTTGGCTTTTTTTGTTTGTTTGGTTTTGGTTTTTTGTTTGTTTGTTTTTTAAGGTGAGCAAAGAAAAATACCCTGTAATAAAATACCGCATTTTTTATTTAAAACGTATTTAAAAGTGATACATTTTTAGGATGTGGATGTAGGAAAGAAATAATTTACCACTTTAGATACATTTTAGATACACTTTAGATGCAATGTTCTTGATTCTATTCACTGCTTCCAGGAATCAAAAATAAATATGTTCCCCAATTCCTGAAGTGCAACCTCATGCTTCAGCTTGCTACCTTTCAAGTTTATTTGTTGCACTACTGCAGATAACTCAGCCTTCTTCCTGATACCTTCAGATGCCAATTTTCAGCATGCTGTAATCACTAATGGCTTTCATTATTCTTTTTTACAACACAGCTAAATCCTAAGCATCTGAAACTGTCAAGTCTTACAAATTCTCCTTTTGTGGCTTAGACAAATAGACCAACATGTCTTTTTCTCTTAATCAGCTGTATCCACCCATTTTCTGAGCTAGCTTATAACCCAGATGGAGGCAAGTAGATTTTTGATTTGCCATATTTTTCTTTTTCTCCAAAAATTTTTAAACCCAAAGTTGATACATCATTCAAGCAGCAGACCTTAGCTAGGTGATGCAAATGCTGCTACATATGTATTCATTTTACTTCACAGAATGGTTTTTGGTGGTTTTGTTGTGAAAAACAAACCAGAAATCACTCCAGGGGAAAAAAAAAAAAAAATCACAGTATACCAGGTACTTATATAACAACAAGTTATGTAAAACCAAAAAACATACAACCTGTTTTATTCTCAAAATTTTTTCCAAGGTTCTTCCTTCTCCGTATTCTATTTGATGAAGAAAACAGAAGTTAACTAGCTCAGTATAAAAATTGTAATTATACCATCCCATGCTTAATATCTCTTTCCACATTGGTAGTTGTACTTGTGTACCTGAACTTTTTCTGAATTGCTTGCGCGTGAGTTGCATTTGTTTATTATGGCATACGTGGTAACGTGTAGCTTGCAGTCTGCTCAGAAAAACTTCTACTGGGTGGGTGTACAAGGATGTAAACACAGGAGGATTAAAATCTTAGATGACATTTAGAGAGATTGATTTCAGAGGTGAAACTCCTACAGGTTCCTCTAGGGACAAGTCTTCTTTGCCATGAGCATGAGACTGTAAATACACCTGGGTAGATACAATAAAAATGTCCCTACCTGCGGGGAGAGAGGTGCAGGGGAGCAGATGTCTTAAATTTCTCTTGAGTTTTCTGGTCAGGCTGATTGCTCCTCAAACACCCCAATATACTCTGCCTGCAATGTGCTTAGTAGGACCTATAGCAAGACAAATGGAGCAGCTGAAAAAGAAAAAACACTCATTTTTCAGTGTAA